GTCTGTAACACCACATTTCGAACGCTTCTAACATTTTCTTTTCCGCAGCGCCCACCGTCCATGTTTCGCACCCGTACAACGCCGCGCTTCAAAATACACACTCAACAAACTTTTTCGGATTTCTAAATTAACCGTTCGCGAACACAGAAGTTACTTCTTTTTGCTCTACCCTCTGCTTTATATCTCTACCACTCCTTCCGTCCTGACTTATCTAACTTCCTGGATACCTAAAAACTACAACTTCGTCACCTATCCTTATATTCACTCTTTCCCTACTTTTTCTTCCCTTGCATACCAGTATTTTTGATTTACATTTATTTATTTTCATAAAATACTGTTTAATCAAAACCATTTCCATTTTATTTAAAGCTATTTCTAACTTCTCCTTGCTAGACGCTAATACTGCTATATCATCTGCAAATCTAAGCATACTAATCTTTTGCCCCTGTATATCTATCTCTACAGTTATACAATCTTTAATGATGCTGATCGCGTACTGGTATCGAAACAAAGTGACAAAGTATCGATACCTAAAAGTATCGCTATTTTTTAATACGCAGCTAGGATTAAATAATAAATTACATGCCATAATTTTGAGAAATTAACGAAAAAAGACCACGCGGGAAATCAACTAATCATAAATTAAAAGTGCATTTATGAATGTGTCAAATAAACAGTTTTTAAGAGATACAAGGTAACGGTTCATGAGACTACCTTTACTTGTATCGTTTCATCCCTAATCACCATGTGTTTTTATTTTGATCTTATAATGTAAAACTATCTGTTTATAATTATGTACCAACCGAAACTGGTTTCCTCATTTTTTTTAACCGTCTATACCATCACATCAACTACACGTAGGTAGGTACGTACGCGGTAACTCTGGAAGTCTGAAACCTGTAATTATGTCCGAGGTCCATCCGTAGAACTTAAATTATAAATAATTGAACAATTACGTTCCAAGAATTAAAAATAAGAAGGCGGTCGCAGCTTTTACAGCGCGCACACACACACACACACATACACAAGTAAGTATACAAAGAGAAGATTCTTGCTCCATGACAGCATCACGATAAATAATAACAGCAAGTAGATCCACCACCTCCGTTTGTTGATCGTAGAATTAAATCTTATTACGATGCCAAAATCGTCTGGTATAACAATCGAACATCGCAGTAACTCGGCCGCAATAACAATTGAACCAAACGAATCAAAGTGGGCCAATCTGCGGTCTTCTAACATTGTATTTAATTTTGTATTAAATTAATCATAAGTGTTATGATGTATTTAAAAATAATCATTGAAAAATGAACTTTTCTGTGAATTACTTTTATTTAAAGAATACTTAAGTATTAATTAATTGTCTCTGATGCACAATACTACGATGTGGAAGGCAACGGGAAACCACTACATTACGATATCCCAAGAAAAACACCAAACTCGACTGATAGCGTCCTATGAGGTAAAGCACTCCGGACGTAAACTAGTCCCTCAATCGAATATCCGGGCGGAGACTACGTCGGGGGATGTCTTCAATAAATGCAATAGAGGAAGGTGCAATATTTCACGAGTGGAATGTTAGAACCATGAGACAAGTAGGGAAATTAAAGAATTTGAAAGTTGAGAAGTCATTTCTATGCTCGTGAACGATTAATTTAGAAATTCGAAAAAGATTGTTAAAGGTGTATGTTTGGAGCGCGGCGCTATACATGGGATGTTCTAGTTTTAGGGAAATGCGAAGATTAGCTCAGGATAGAAAGGAATGGAAGTGCGTGTCCAACCAGTCTCAGGATTGACGACCTTATGTATGATGATGATGAATTTAAATTCAAAAACGACACAACAATTCACAATTAAAAAATTTATTGATTATTAATTCCATTTTTTCTTATTTTGGTCTGACTAACAATAATAAGGCAATTATTTGTGAACCAATAAAGAAAATTAAACGATTGAGATGGGTAGTGCAAAATTTTGTAATTTTCCAAGAAAATACTTAAAATTTTATACAAATAGGTAATACGTAAACATTGTTAAAATTACTTTGGTCATAAGTAAAGCAACATTACCGAGAGATGTCACTATATAAGGGGTAAATAACCGGAAATGTATGTTATGCGGCATACAATGTTCACCCCATTGAGAACGATACATCTAACCGACAATAATTCTTCGTAGTATGTAGGCACGATCCCCATTACAACCCTCAATAATTTTACAATTATTTATAGATAAATTTTGCAGACACAGGAAAAGCATGAAATATATAGTAATGTCAGCTTCCGATACGATAACTACAATAACAAGGTTAGCACTAATTCATGTAATGATAGCAATAAAATTGAGCGTTCATGGATAAACCGCAGCCTTGCTTAAGGCCGTCCATGAGTAATATCGTTATAAGGACATTAAATAAATACTTATTAAATTCGCAACTTCCTTAATTTATTACACTGGAGGAGTGCCTGTGTCAGACGAGGAATATTGTGGATTGTTCTAAAAAAAGGTAATAGGGTAGCGTCTCACTGGCACGAAAATAAAATGAGAAAGTCATGACGTCATTTCTATTGTTTTGAAGGTTACACCACAAAAAATTGTAACAAACAAACAAACAGGTGAACAGCGGAAAGATTTCAAAAAGACCACCGTATAGTGGGAAACATCCATTTGGACATATACATACATACGTTATGCAAAGAACAGAAGATATTAAAAACTTGTACTTTTGTTTTAAAACAATGAGGATTATGTTTTTGTTAAGACAATAAAACATGGTTACGTGAGGATATTTTAACACCAACAGTCACATCCATAACAACAAGTAACAGGTATCATTTCGCTAAAATTATTTTGAAACCTTCCAGCATTATGAAAGAATGCGTTAACGGGTTTAAAAATTCATCATAAAATTTTTCAGTTCAATAATTAATACAGATCCTTGAACTACTTTATGCAAAATGCTTGTGGTAGTACAATATCATAATAATACAGATGTATTAGATACTGACCAAGACACTAATAAATACATTACGATCAAACTCCAATGCCAAAAGAAAAATTACAGGCGGTCAAAGATCCCAAACAAATTTTTCTTGGAACCAATTGTTTTCGAGATATAGGGCATTACACTGCAATTGTTTCTACATCATCTTTGATGTTCCTGTAGGTTCATTCCAAGGGTAAAATAAAGTTATATATTTTATTAATTATCTCAGCGGAAACAAAAAACGAAATGATCGTTTAACTTAGATTGAAGGGCTGTACTCCCCGGCAACCTATTGAGACACGACTAGCACCAACAAAGTCACCCAACAGATGCCAGAATCTTTTGGGCAATTCAGGACATTACCAGGTTCGTACATTTGCTGGAAAAGGATTCAAACCCTCGGCAAAGGGATTGGACTTTACATAATATTTTATTACAACCAATAAATACTCTGACAGATGATTTTTTCAATTCTATTTTCCCAATTTTATAGTAGGATTTCAATGTTCCTTAATGTATGGCTCTTGTCGTATCCCAAAATACGTTGTCGGCGGATACATCCGTTGAATCAGAATTGAATTATAATGAAGCAGAAAGTGAAAATATGGAAGAAGTTAACGAAGTCGAGCAATAATCAGCAAAATTATTTCATAACATATCAATGGATGGAGCTACGGGGATACAAAACTAACGTAAACCCCATTTACGAGATATTTTAGAAAAATTGATTTTCGTAACCTTTGACCAGCTATAACTTACGTAGCCGTCCGCATGACTTTATGTACCTTTGATAAATTATTTATGAAGGGAAAATAATGTCCTGCTAACAAATCTTCAGTTGGATTTTTTAGAGGTTTAGCCTCAGCTTAGCGAGCTAGTAACAAAATTTATAAATTGAATGATTTGTCACTATAAGCCGTTGGTCATATTGACTAAACAATCCGAGAAATCTATTTCTTCACATAAAAACCGAACTGTCTAATTTAGTTACGACATAAAACGGAATTATCATTAATGGGAAATTGTAAATTATATGTTTAGTTACGAATGAATGCCGCAGTCGGCAATCGATATCGATGGCATCAACTTACAGGAAGTATCCGGAAATATTCATGACTGGTGTTACATAAAAGTTACTTATAGGTGCATACATCAAAACTTGTTAAAATAAGTAGAACGACTAGAAAATTTGTGGTGGCGACGATGACACGCTTGACCCATTTACATCAGTTAGATTTTTTTTGAGAATAAAAAGAATTAGACTCTAACTTAATAATGCTTGATATCTCTGGACAAAAATTTTCAGTCTCTCTCCAGTCTCTCAGAGACTTTCAGTGTTTCAGCGCCTCTGAGAGCGTCTCTCACAGTCTCTCAGTTATTTCTTAGTTGTTATTATGATTTCTCTCACAGTCTCCCTATGAGAGACTCGAACGATAAAATTGTTAATTCAGAGATTCGAGTCTCTCATAGAGAGACTGAATGAATAAAACTGAAAAATTGAGAGATTCGAGTCTCTCGTAGAAAGACTGGGATCTCTGAAATATGTTGAACATAGAAAATTTTAACCATGTTTATCGAGACACCACTTATTGAGAGATTCGAGTCTCGTTCAGAGATTCGAGTCTTTCATTCAGAGACTGTATACGAAATGAGAATCTCTCTACGAGCGACTCGAGTCTCTCGTTCAGAGACTCTGAGAGACTGAACATTTATATGTCGGGATATTCAGGCTTGATGGTTCTGGTCTAGAACTGTTTCTCTTTCGTGAGAACACCAATAGAGTCATTACTGTGGTTGGAATCCTTAGGGATCGTAGCAAGGGTGGTTGTGGTTTTACTGCCCTAGCTGCATTCCCTATAGATGAAAACCACAGTTGTTGCCGAAATGTAGGATAAACCACTTCACTGGTGGTTCTCATCGAAGCGAAAGAGAAACAATTCCAATCAAGCGTTATTCAGATTTTGGAGAATAAAAATAAATTTCACCATTCAACTTTTTTCAAATTTTAACTCACCGACAATGAGGGTTGTGACAGTGGTAGTTTCCTTGACGTCTTTGATCTCTTTATTGGCGTCCCCGACCCGAAGAAAATCCGAGAGGGATAACGAGGACGCAATCAGCTGCCTTTTCTCTTCGAAATTGAGATAGTCGAGGCTGTTGCTTCTCTGCGGAGCAACAATGGCCACCGTTTTCGTTTTCGTGGCCGTTCGATGATGATTATTAGGATTGTTTTTATCACTTAGCATTTGCGCAGGCACAATGTAAACACTGTTCAATTTTAAAGACATTTTTTCTTCTTTTTTTTTTATTAATTATACATACGATGTAAATGTAGGAGAAAAATGTAACTGTGACACGTGAAAAACTTTACAGTCGCGTGGACATCTCTTTTTAATTGAGGAAGTGGATTTTGGGGCTTAACAAATGGATTGCTTCCAAAAGTTATTAATGCAACAGGCAACGCGACGCCAAAAAGTCAATAAACGAAAGCATTTGGGCACGCATACTTTCTGATGGATACAATATGAGCAGATACGTTAAAAAAAACGAATATTTGTTGCAACTGTAACAACAGAAAGAAAATTAATCTAATCTATAGTCGAATTTGCGCACAACGTTTATTTAGGTAGATAATTATTCAATTTTTATAACACACTCTTGAAAAGGGAAACAAACACCTGAAACGCTTTACACGTTTTTTAATTTTTTAATGATCCAAAAAAATGCATTAAAAAATGACGCACATCTAGCAATTAAAAAAAAAATTGAATAAAATTAATGTGTATTTTAAAAATGGGATTATCACCAAATAAAATTTGAATATTTCAACTGTTACTGATATGGTTCGTAAATTCAATTTTAACACAAAAGAAATTGCATCTTTCGTAATGATAATTGTCAATATTAACCACCATTGAGAAAACTGACACATAGAGAGGGTGCTTTATATAAGAATAAACAAAAAATGTAAATTAAATTAGTCTCACCGAAAGTTAAGTAATAAAAAAATGTATTTAGTTGTACAACATTAACATTAATTAAGTTAACATTAACTTTCGATTTTCATTTTCTTATTATTAAAATACAAAATGGTCAATTCCCCTAATGAATTAGAAATATTAAATTATGTAGCATCCCATATATGTTCTATGTTCTTGTGTGTGGTATATACATACGCTGGCTACTTCATTCTTTATTTAGGGGAGATATCTATACTCCACCCTCATATTTATTTTCTTTTCTTCGAGCACTTTGTTTAACTCCCTAAATTAAAAGCTCATTGAACTTCTTTTCATCAACATAGGACCGTTTGTTATCATACCTTAAATATTTACATAATTAACAGCCCGCAGTCCCTTTTTTGATAGATACCTAATAATCAGTATCCATTTTCAATGCATTTTCTTGATTTTACTACAATATTTAGTAAATATGTATTCTATTTATTTTGTAATATTTAAAGTTTAAGTTGAATAAGGATGCTAATTAGGACTACAAAATCTGTTTTCAAAAACAAATAATTTTATAGTGCTCACACCCCAATACCATTAAATAAATGCTAAATTAAAATAATTATCCGAAAAGTGTAGAACACTATCATTTAAATTCTCAAAACAATGCTTATTAAATTAATATCAATAGTTTACTATCCAAATATCGAAACGAACCTTTTATTATAAACAGGAAATGTATTACTTACTTACTACTTACTTTATCTTTAGAAGGTCAAAAGTTCGTAAATACCAATTTAAATAAATTTAAAAGAACAACATACTACATCATAAATATTGAAATAGAAGAACATTGCCACATGAATGTTTAAGAAGTATAGAATACTGTATTGACATTTACATTATAATGAAAAAGATGAAAAATACTTATTCTGGATAATACCCAGCACAACTGCGTATTTATGAAACGGAAAATAAAAACAACAATTATCATTTTTTTACGATACACCCACAGCAATAATGCCGATTAGTAATTAATAATTTATGTGAAATGCATAAATAAAAACCGATACAAATAGGTCCATAAAAAGGCACCCGTACTTTGTAAAGGTGACGTACAATTTGTACAAGTTACTGCCTAACTGTAAAGTGTAAATATAAAGCTAAAACAAAGGCAATTGTTTTAATAGAACGAAATACCTATGCAGTTATGAAATACAGAAAATTTGCACATTTACGTTACTAAAAACAGAAATCAATTGCAATGAATTTAGTTTCAAACTCTTACATAGGGGTAAAGATAGGAGCACCGTATTTTTGTAAATTTTGTGAAACAAAAATGTTTTTTTTTGTTAAAATAATAATTTAGTGGCACCTTTTAAGGTACCTACACCTAAATTTGTTCTACAATGTTTTTAGGTAACATTTTCTCAAAACTATCAACATATTTTTAAGGGTAATGTTTTACATCCCTAAAAATTCTACAAATTTTTGGTGAGGACAAGACATTAAAAAAAATGTACATTTAACACTCTGTATTCTTCTGTATTTAAATTATGACGTAGGCATGTATCAAAATATAATAACTTATGACAATTTACTTTCCTGATTCTATAAAGGTACTGGTGGCGTTTATAAGTACGACGTTTTTCCAAAATTAATACTGATCAATTAAAATTACTTTCATAGACATATTCTCTCCGAAAAGTATAAATTCAAACCATATCAGTAACAGATCATTTTCTAAATCTAATGTAAAAATTTGGTTAATGGGTGATTAGCGTACATTTCCCCGATTTTCTTGAAATTTTTATGTTGTACTAATCGTCATGCTGATTAAGAATATATACGTACATACGTTAGGGGTGGAAACCATCACCCATCATGTACATTATCAGCTTCGAAAAACTAAAAACTACGACATATTATTCAGGTAAGGTTGGGTTACGAGAAGAGAAGGAGGTATTCAGAAATTCGTCGACGGTTTTATGTACCTCCTCCTTCTCTCCTATTCACCCTCGGTTTAATTTTACATAAAATATTTGCGGAATGACAAATTCATCGATATTTAAAAACAATTTATTTTAAGATTAACTTGATGGTGAAATGGAGAAGGGGAGAAATGTTAAAATTTTTGACATCTATTAACTAACTCTCCCCTCACCCACCTTATATGAAATATTTCCGGGATGACAAATATTCACCGATATTCCAAAACAATTTAATGTAACATTAGTTTGAGAGTGAAAAAATGCGAGGGGGAATGTTAAAAATTTTGGACACCTTCTAAAAACCCTCCCTCACCCCTCGACCTAATCTTACATGAAATTTACGAGATGACAACCTTCAAAGCCCCCCCCCCCTCTAATCTTACATGCGATTTGCAGGATCGATAACACGTTGCAGTAGTTTTTTAGTTTTTTTTTTTTTAACCTAAAAGTGATGTTTGTTTATATTCCTGATCAGTATGACAAATATTACATCATAGTAAAATTTCAAGTACCAAGATTACAAAATTAGATGAAATGCCGATTGTGTGACTACCTGTATGTTCGATTTAAATGCGTTGCTTGCAGATTCGACTGTAGTTAAAAAGGCACGCAGAGCGCGGGTAAAAACCTACACGCACAAAAAAGTTTTCAACCGAACTCTATACGCACACACGCCACACCATCCCTCTCTATCCACCTGTTGTGGTGGCATTCCGTTGATGTGCTAGGACGCAGGTAGAAATAGCAGCAGCAGCAACGGCCGAACCGCTGCTAATAACGGCTATGCGCTTCAGGAATGCAAGTGGTAAACAAATCACACCGAATATCATCTTCACGTTTACGCGCCGAGCACCAAAACACCACGACTCTTTTTGCTAAACTCAACGACACGCATTACATCCGCACACTTAACGTTCGCAATCACTATTCAACCGTTGTGCGCATTTTCGCGAAACATCCGCACAACGATACGTATTACATGCGTTAGGTTCGATGTATTGCCGCACGCACGCACCACGCAGACGAACAACACAACAAACAGAACAGCGAGTAGCATTAATTTCCTTTAGTTTAATACACGCGAATGATCGTCGAGTCCGTTCTGCGTTCGTGAAACGCGCGACGATTGCCGAACCGTTCCCCCATTAAAGCCATCCAACGTGGTTCAAAGGCCTCCGTGTTCTGTCGTTTCGTTCATGCTGCCGTTGAATCGCTTTGGAAAAACGGAGAGAGAGTGTGACGACGTGCGGACGGAAAGGCAAAGATTATGACCAAAAACACGAGGAACCAGACAAGTGTAACTATGGTGATGCAGCGCGGCACCCGCGATCATCTCTCGACGAACATGCACGGCGCGTCGCCCCTTCGCAGCCAGAAATGCAAGTAAGAGAAAAGAGGACGAGGAGCCTCTTCAAAAATACTGCACGATGTTGATGCTACTACTGCTGCTGCTGCTGCTGTCAGCTTCTCCGACGGACGGGCTTTTACAATTTGTTTTTTACAATTACCAACTTTTAATTTTAACGCGACCGAGTCCGCCACTTGAGGACGTCAGACACGTTCGCTGTAGAATTGACGCCATAAGAATTTACAAGCCACCGCTCGATTTAAACCAATAAATAAAGATACGGACCACCGATGTTTTTTTTGTTTTTCAAAGTTAAAAAATTTGGACGATTTTTGATATTTCGAAAATTTAGTAAACAGAAAGATTACCAGGCACGCAATCCCTTGAAGGGCATACCCACACGTTAAACCAGCACAGTGTACCAGGATAATGTTAAGACCTCCTGAGGTATCTCCTCCATAACATCATCGGTCACACGAAACGAAGTTACCTGAAGGTTAGAGACGCTCAGATTCGGACCTATCCAAATCTTTAGTACATTCCAGATTAGGAACCAGCCAGGCGCCTTACCAACTACCTCCTTGAGTACAATACCAGTTAGCAGGGGAGAAGTCGAAGCCACATTCTCGGTCCCCCACGCCACCAAGGTGCCGTACAGACATTCCGGTGACCATTAGCTCTCCTTTGGATCACCCCTTCGCTGGGCGACATTCGTATCGCCTTACCAAACAACCTTGATCCAAATAAACAGCACCCCCAATGGGCCAAGCTACACATCCGATCCTTCCTCGATACCTACGTTCATTCCACGCATCACATGGTAACTTGCTTAATGGACCAACTTCCCTCCTGCGTTGTAACCCCGTCCGATACACCTATTTTTCAAACGCTTACTTCGGTGTTTTAGACATTGACGGGGGGTGAAGCCGATGCTAGCATCCTGGCATCCCACGTTACCGAGGTACCGGTACAGGCGTCCCGGAGACCATTAACTCTACTCCGGATCTCCTCAATGGGTAATTATACTTTCACCTCAACCCTGCTTTCACCTTAAATAAGTAAGGTCCCCGATGGACCACGGTACACATCTGATCCTTGCTTAATGTCCATGTTTGCTCCATGCTTCACGTGGTAATTCGCTTAATAGATTAGGTCATCCCCTTGCATTGCAGGTTACTTCAGTTGGGGGTACCCATGGTATACCCACGCGGGCACTGCTGGACTTCCCACACTATACATTGCCTTCCGATATCCGGAGTTCTTTAGTTTTTCCATACTTTCGCATGAGTACTGAGCCCCCTTCGAACCAGAGAGGATGGAGGTGCGGGGGCACACAGGCATAACATCTCATGAAATAATGACCAAGCGTTATTTCAATATTATAATATGTAGACTATCTGAAGTTTCGAATTTCGGTTTTGATGCGCACACAATTGTCTATTGCTGACCTTTAGCGTAATGTTCATCATTATTAGAAAACCTTTGAAGATGCACTGTCTCATCAAAGGCAAAATGTCGATAATATACAACTTGAGGAACTGAAAACTCAGAATCCCAATCATACAAGGGAGAGTCATTATGAGTCAAGGTATCCAGAATGAAGCCTGGTTGGACACGCACTTCCACTTCTTCCGATCTTCAGCCAAAGTTCACATTTCTCGAATGCTCCAAGATCCTTCATCTATTCTATTTCTACTCTTCTTAACTTACTGAAACGCATTTTCGCCAAACAATCGAAAGCTTTAAAATAATATTCAGGAAACAACCTTCTAACTGTAAAGCGAATTTTGACCAGTATCCTCTTGAAACAGAAAGTTATGTTACAATTTCGACAATCAGTATAATACTATCTAAGTTTTTTGATTTCAGAATTACGAAAACTATGGATTTCACTCTTTTGCATATCATCCTTACTAACGTTACATATTACTACAACCCATGACTACAGGAACTCAATTGTTCCTTCGTCATCATTATCACCACCATCTTCCTAAGGTTATCAGTCCAGTACCTGTAGCACTTAAAACTTTTACGATAATAATATAATGACACAAAACCCGGCTGCACTCGCCCTAATTTTTTTGTAATCATAATTATAACGAATACCACACATTTCTGACTGATTGGATTGAATAAAATTAACTTTCTATGAAATCAATTACGATAATCAGTTTACTGATTTTCAGCATTTTGACTGCGCATGTATTTGTACATGCAGATGTCCATATGTACATATAAATATATGGTACGCCTCATAGTAAGTACCATACTATCTATAACACTTGTACAATTCGGTCAGCGTAAAACTTTCCAAAGAACTTATTCCTTACCTACACACTTTCTCCAATTAATATAATTTCCTATTCGTACCGCAATCACTATTATCCATTAATAGATACAATGAGTAAGTGTTGTTCCGCGAAATTTGTGTTATAAAATAAACCGATTTATCTAAATAATTACAGACGCAACATGTACAATTAATATACTTTTCCATCAATGGGTTCGTTTCCACCTGGATAATAAAAAGTTTCACTAAATCATTGGTCAACGCCAGTTGTTTCTTTGTAATTAATTAATTATACGTTAAATTTAGTTGTACACTTCCGAACTGCATAGCGTCCTTCTGCTTTTAGTTATAATTAATTGTTTAATTCTTCTTCAACCTTCCAAATTTCCGGTAAACTTACTGAGAATATAGTGAAAAATTCCTAAGAAATTGTGTTTACTACAAATAGTTCCAGCGTAAGTACATTGTAATGAAATTTGTGTGGCCATCTCCTCTCATGATAGAACTTTGTGCAATTAGGTGACTTTCAAAACGTCTAATTACAGAATGGAACTAACTAATGGATGGGTTCAACTAATATCTCAATAATAATAATAATATGTTCAAATTTCTATTGAACACATTCAAAAACATTTGTTTCTCCAGCCACGTCTCAATACGATTAATTAAATTATTGAATACTTTTTTAATTATTCTAAACTACGCATCTCCAAATTTTGCATTTTGCATAAAGGTTCATATGTTATTACCCCTTAAATAAATACTTTATTACTGATATTCGTCAAACATACTCTAAAATGTTCGTATATTTACATATTTTGACGTGACTACGTCTTATAATTCGATGGAGCCGGCTGCACGCACGAAAAAACATGACTCATGCGGCGTTACCGCGCTCTGAGGCGTTCCATTTAAGGCTTGAAGTGCAAGCGAGAGCGCGGAACGAGCGACAAAGAGGCACAATCGGCCTCCGCGTTCGGCAGCGTTCGACATCTGTCTCTCTCCAACTTGAGTGAGCGATGCGTCCGCGTGGACAGCTGCTATACAATAATACATTTACATTTACCTCCTTCTCTATATCCATATCTACAAAATATCTATCAAACAAATAAAATTAACATTTTCTTTTGAAAAATGAAACCATTCCATCAGTATTTTCTTATAACGTTGTCACGTTCAACTTTCGTCAGTAAACCGACTTTACAGACAACCGATTTTTTTCACACAAAATAAACTGCATCAAAATCTGGCCTGAACTTGATCAGCTTTTCTGTTTACAAACAAGATTAAAGTACAAATACAGACTTGTCCCTTTTGGTGTCAGGGGTTAAATAGGAAAACTGAAATTCTTAGCAATAGATCTTACCTCGTAAGTACTGCAAACCCAGTTTAAAAGCAACAGTATTCATTATTGTCCGTTGTTTTGATAAAATCTAACGTTACATGTATAGAAATTGGATGCCTGCACAGGAACACAAATCATTTTAACAACTGACCGTGGCGGTCTGTGTCTACTTTACTATTATGTGCGACCTACAAATTTTTCCACGGCAGTAAAAGATGAACTTTACGGGTCTGAACTTTAAATTTTATGGGAAATCATCAAAATTACGATGCAGTTAAACATGAAACGTTAGCGTGTTACTTTTACGATTGCAAAGGAGCACAATGTTCACATTATTATAATTTTTGCAATCGGCATCTCTGTGAATGATTTATGGTAATATCGCTTGTGCAAAAGTATTGACCTTCCAAAATTTCCGTTTTAAGTCTCGAAATATTAAATGTTTTCATTTGCTCAGTGTTTATTTATTTTTAAGAATCCGCTAATAACAATAGTAATTGCAGTCGACTTTCGTTAATTCAAACCTGCTATAATTCGAAGTTATCACGAGTTCCCTACAAAATCTTTTTATATTTCGAACTAAATCAATACATTTTTATGCACTTGGTAACTCGAACGAAAAAATCATTGCTACGTAACAAAACAAAAGTAAAACTAAAATACTCATATGCAAGGGAAGAAAAAGTAGGGAAAGAGCGAATATAAAGATACGAGACGAAAAATTAGAAGAAGTGGCTGATTTTAGATACCTATGAAGTCAGATAAGTGAGGATGGAAGGAGTAGTAGGGATATAAAGCAGAGGATAGCGCAGGGTCGTGTCGCCTTTAATAAAAAGAAGTCACTTCTATGCTCGCGAACGGTTAATTTAGAAATTCGAAAAAGGTTGTTAAAGGTGTATGTTTGGAGCACGGCGTTGTACGGGTGCGAAACATGGACAGTGGGAGCGGCGGAAAAGAAAAGGTTAGAAGCGTTCGAAATGTGGTGTTATAGGCGGATGATGAGGATATCGTGGGTAGAAAAGGTTAGAAATGAAGAGGTATTGGAAAGAATAGGAGAACAGAGGACTCTATGGAAGTCAATAAAAAATAGGCGAGATAGGTTGGTAGGACACCTTCTCAGGCATGAAGGTCTAGTCAGAGACATATTAGAGGCAGAAACAGGAGTTAGGAGGGGTAGAGGTAGACCTAGATTAGATTACTGTTCGCAAATAGTTAAGGATGTGGGTTGTTCTAGTTTTAGGGAAATGCGAAGTTTAGCTCAGGATAGGAAAGAGTGGAGGTACGTGTCCAACCAGTCTTAGGACTGATGACCTTATGATGATGATGACGTAACAAAACGACGCGTTAATTCGAACTCATCGGCGTCAAACACTCTACAA